TTAAGTCGCTGGGGTATATTTGTAGCAATAGCCAACAATACATTGTATGGGTCAAAATTATTGATTTTTCTTTTATGCCAAAAATCATTAGGATATTAAGTAAAGATCATGTTCCATGAAGATATTTTGTAAATTTCCTACCGTAAATATATAAAAACCTATTTTTTTATTAGTAATATGCATTGCTAAGAACTTCATTTGGACAACTTTTTCAATATTTTTATTTTTCTGCACCCTCAGATTCCAGATTTTATCTCGGCCAAATATTGTCATATCCTAACAAACCATACATCAATGGAAAGCCTTTTTATTCAGCTTTCCGATGATGTACAAACCTCAATTTCGAAAAATGGACCCTTATGACTGGTTTTGTGGTCCATGGTCACATATATCAGTTTATTTCTTTTTTTGGCAAGTTTGGCAACAGTTAGGGTTAGCTTTGGCAATTATAGTATAATAAATTATATAGTATATTAAAAATGGATTATGAGGGTATTAAGCTCACCAAAACCAATATATGACCGCAAGACCACCTCTAAATCTGGACTCTTCTACATAAAACATTTGAATTTAATGATTTACTCCTACCTGTAACTCACACCATGCCACCTCCACCGTGGTCTCTGTGTCCAACCCCTTGTAGACCGTCTTGAACGACCCTCTCCCAATTTCAATGTTGAACTTCAGATATCTTCCATCCGGTGAGGTGGCCACCGCTTTGGTCTCAATGTCCTCTTTCTCGTCCTGCTCCAGTCTGCTTACAAATGGGCGTCGTGGTGCCACATTCTCAACTTTGGAGCCCTCATTGTCGGAGTCTGAGCTGGCATCCTGGGCGACAGGGGACAGAGGGGTCTGGACGGAGCTTGTCCAGTCCTCTGGAGGTGCTGAGCTGGCGCTGGGGGTTGAAGACTCCGGGCTGGAGACTGGAGATGGAGAACTTGGAGATGGAGGGTCTGTTTTATTTTCAGCAACTCTTCTCTCTGATAACAATATGTTTTCAGTGGACCACGACAGCGCTTTGGAAAGTGTCTCGTTGTAGATTTGCGGGTCAATATCCACGCTGAGTTTATGAAGCACGTATGAGTTCCTCCTGGCGTTCAGGGAGTGTGTCCGCAGCATTGGCACTCTGGAGAGACAGTCCTCCTCCAACTCAACAGGTAAACCAGGAAAACCACGTCCAGCGAACTCGACTTCGGCGTGAGACATGCTGAGGAGCGCTCAGAGCATCACAAACTGGACGAAACAGAGAAATAAACTAGAGCGCGCAAGAACATTATGTACCAGACTTTTGCGTATTTTCCTCCACGATATGCTTTTTACGAGAAAATATCACAGGCATAAATAATAACAACAAATTAGGTTATAGACATAAAAAAAAAACATTTATAGCCAATCTCAACTACATTATATTTCTTTATCTATTAAAGAAAAACTCACAAAACGGGCTAGTAATCGTATATTTACCTTATTTAGAGAAGTCTGAAATTACTCCAGAGTTGAAACATACACAGGACATTTGCTCCGCACTACAGCTCTTCACAGCGAGCGCTCGCGCCTGACTCCGCCCGCTTCACCTGAGTAGCAGGGTTGCCAGGTTTTCATAAGAAAACCCGCCCAATCGCTACTCAAAACTAGCCCAATCGCATTCCAGGGGATACATATCATGTTATTGGAGTCGCTGCAACCCGCGGACATGAAAAACAACCCGCGGCAACAGTGTTAAAGTAGGAAGGAAAACCACGGACTTGGCAACACTGGGACTCCCGCAGCGTTGGGTTTCACTGCAGGCTTGCGGTCGTCAGTGCGTAGATCTACCCGTGCCATCAGAACAGCTTGTGCTGGTGAGAGAGTGTCCATTAGATTTTCCACTTGCGATGTCCGATTCGTTTTTTGCGAGTCGAATCTTTTCGATGAATCGCTTGAACTGAATCATATGGTCTGAACGATTCGCTCACTAACAGCAAAAAGGTGTCTGACATTTCCACCGTCATTGGTCCGGAAAAAGATTCAGTTCACTGAACACTCGTTAAACTTTTGTGACAACATAATGTTATAATTTATATGCCTATTTATTATGTATTAATAAGTATCGCTTTTTATTTCTCCTCTTTCCTATTACTTGTTTCGCTTCTGTTTCAGTTTTTTATAACCATTTCTTACTATGTGTAAGTTGTTGTTTTTTAGCATGTGTGTTTGGCAGTGTTATTTTTTAGGGTTACTGATAAACTACTGTCGTTTGATTTGTATTTGTTATTTATTTTAATTGTAGTTAAATTATGTCTGAATTTATGATGTCTGTATAGGTCTTTTATTAAGTTTTAGTTTGATTTGAGTTATTTTAATACTTCAACAAACTAAATGGAAATGAAATAATATATATATTGAATTTATAAATGTGTGTGTATATATATATATATATGTATGTATGCGTGTGTGGTTGTACATACATATGTAGTTGTTTTTTTGGTGTTTGGCTTAGTGTTATGTTAGAATCATTATTATACTCATACCTTTTGTTCTTTAATATTTTGAATTGTTTTTAGCTTTATTTTTTGTTTTTCATTTAAATGTTAAGTTTTGAAATGTTGTTGTATGCATTTGTCATCTCTTTATTTTTAAAATGTGTATAGGTAGTATTTATAAAGTTTCAGCTTTTAGTTTTGGATCTGTTTTTAGTTGTTTTAATACTACAATTGATTGCTTCTGTTGTCCTCATTTGTAAGTCGCTTTGGATAAAAGCGTCTGCTAAATGACTAAATAAATAAAATGTATAGCCTATAGTAAAACTTGTGACAACTTACTTGGAGTCCCAGCTGATGAACAACTGAAAATGACAATCAAGAAATTAGTTAGGAAAAGTTTAGAGAATTTATTCAACTACTATGATAGTTGTCATTGACTTCCATAGTTATTCATACACAGGAAATCGAATTATCATTCTTAAAAAAAAAAAAAAAAAAAGCATGATTTGTGAGCTGAAAGCATTAACTTGCTCCCTGGGTTGACTATTTTAGACTTTTCTCATGTTGGATTCAGGACACGATTATTAAAAATTAGTCAGGCTGTGCTGCTCCCAAAATAGAATTAATAATAATATGTTTAAACAAAGGCTATGCTTGATTTGGTCATCTAAAGCAACATCTGAAAATAGAAAAGACCTTCAAATCTTCTACATTTCTTGTTACAAATAACAAAAAAAATAGCAGTTGTTTCATGATAATTATTATGATTCAAAATGTGTACATCAGAATGAACCAAAGTAAACCATCAAAATGTCAGAGCTTCATATCTTGTCCACAATTAAAACAAAAGCGCACCGATAGCATCATTCTGTGTCTATACACTCTAAAAAATGCTGGGTTAAATATAACCCAGCGCTGGGTTAAAAAGGGACAACCCCAGCTATTGAGTTGTTTTGACCCAGCGGTTGGGTTGTTTTGACCCAGCTATTGGGTTGTTTTTTTGACCCAGCGGTTGGGTTCAAAACATCCCAACCGCTGGGTCAAAACAACCCAATAGCTGGGTTTGACCCTTTTTAACCCAGCACTGGGTTATATTTAACCCAGCATTTTTTAGAGTGTATAAGCATTATATACTTTCTATAGATCTTTCAGTTGAGAGCTTTCTGTGTTTGTCTGTTGTTTCTAATCTTTCACAACCAAGAACAAAAACCTCATGCAAACCACAGTAAACATCTGGCCTAAAAACACTAGATTGAGCTTATGAATTTTAGCCTGTCTCTAGACCAGAACATAATGGACAGCTCACGTTCTGCAGCACAAGCTCATGCTGCTTCCTCTCATGTGCTGGTTTCATGCGCCAGAAACCTCTACCAACCAGTACAAAGCATCATTCATACCGGAGGTGAGCCATTTACTCTGGGCACTTATCACAGAACATTTGTGTAATTCCCTGTACTTCTATTCCATTGCATACAGTTGGCAACAAAAAGCATTTGATTAAGTCACTTTAAAATGTATTATTGTCATTGCATTAGATAAAATACTGAGTGGCATTTATTTTAAGAAAGACAAACTCTTGCGTCTCTGCTTGTCTGTTCCATTATGTGTGGTCAACACTAAACTGGCCCTCAGATGATTAATAAAGCTGCACTGCATAAATTTGTAAAGGGATGCTCAGCAGAAGGCGCTGTCACGTGACACTCTGACATGCACATGAGCGCCACCTGTCGCTTTTACTGACCGTCGCATATAAAAACGGTCATCAGTGTGATTTAGCAAAAACAAAATGCAAAAGTTACACTATATATATATGAAGCTCAGGATTTTAAAATATTATTGGCCTGACATTTTTTTTTTTTTTACATTAAACACTGCTTTTTTTATTTAAAAGAAAAACTTTAAACTATTTTAATTTATTCAACTTTATTTTTAAAATATTAATTTAAATGCTATTTTAAATTTTTTAAAATAATGTGTACTGTATAGGGTTATCATCAACAACTAAAACTAAACCCATAAAAACTATTTCATTACTTGAAACAAAATAAACATTAACTTATAAAAAAAAGTTGCCAAAGTAACATTTAAATTTTTTTAGATTAAGTTGAAGCACCAAAATAACTAAAACTAAAGCTTAATAAAACTATGTAGACATTTTTAAAAATACACTAATAAAAAAAAAACAATGAACACAAACTAAAATTAAAAGAAAATGTAATAATAAAAACCATTTAAAATATTAACAAAAATTATACTAAAAACACGTGTGCTGAACTTTTAAACATTTCTTTAGACATCTGAGAGACTGACTTGAAAAACCCAAAGTATGAGCAATGGAATAATAACCATGTTTGACTTACAGCATGTCAACTCTTCCACTAGAAGTATAACGCAGATGACTTTGTGCTGTAAGCCATTTTTTGATGCTTCCGCCAAGCACGTGAGATTTGCATATGAAAATCAAATATATAAGGCAAGTGCTCTTCAATCAAACCAAACGCAAAGGGCTTTGCAGGAAAGAACTGAAAACGTCTCTCTCATTTATTTGTACAGTATTGGTATAAAAGGTGATAAGATACAGTGACAACCGGGGAAAAGGAGAGAATGCTACCAGATTTCAGCAAAATATTGATATGAATTCCACTGCCATCAGGAACAAGACATTTACTCAAGAACATTTCATCTTAGCCAGGAAGCATCGCAGGACTTGCAAAAAACCGTGTCAGATAAGCAGACCGTTTTCTGACTTTGTGGTTCAAATATTCAAGTAGAACGAGAGTCCTTCAGGATTTACAGCAATAAAAGGAGTGGAATAAAAACTTATGTTTAGTCTGGGTCTACATTAATATACTTCTATTCCTTAGTTTTGGTCTGACATTTTACTTTGTATGCATAATGGCTAGGAACAAAATCTCGGTTTCTTTAGTCTGCTCAAACATCAGGTGTAAAACCACCAATTTATACATGCTTCAACAATTTAGTTTGGGCTCATGTGCCAAATAATGACTTACTGATTTAGTAGTGGAGTGTACTATAGAGTCCAAAAAAGATCCCAAGTGGACTGAGACAAAAGATGATTCGGCTGGGCTGACAGAAACCCAACACCTCCCCAAAGTCTGATTTGAGAAAGCCTGATTTAAAAGAACTTGACACCTTTTCCATCATCCATAGTGATCATTTCTGCCTTCCCTTCAGCCTGCAGGGCCTGCAGTGAACGCAGCAACATCCAATCCTCCAATCCATGGAACTCTGAAAGATACGCTCGTGTTACGCACTTGATCAGAGCTTAACGCAGCTACTGCAAAGAATAATGTACTCACCCTCAGACCATTCAAGATGTAGATGAATTTGTTTCTTTATCGGATTTGGAGAAATGTAGCATTGCATCACCTGCTCACCAATGGATGCTCTGCAGTGAATGGGTGCCGTCAGAATGAGAGTCCAAACAGCTGATAAAAACATCACAATAATCTACAAGTAATCCACACCACTCCAGTCCATCAGTTAACATCTTTAGAAGCCAAAAGCTGCATGTCTGTAAATCCATCAAGACATTTTCACTTCAAACCATTGCTTCCGGCAAAAACTGATGGACTGGAGTGGTGTGGATTACTTGTGGATTATTGTGATGTTTTTATCAGCTGTTTGGACTCTCATTCTGACGGCACCCATTCACTGCAGAGCATCCATTGGTGAGCATTCTGGGCAAGTAACTGATTTTCATCTTGGATGTCCTGAGGTTGATTAAATAATCAGCAAATTTTCAGTTTTGGGTGAACTAATCCTTTCACAGCAACAAGGTAAGTTCTATAGATATGCGTTACCATTTTGCTGATGTATTGCAATGTACAACAGAAATATGAAACACTTTTATACCTTCTTTTTCTGTGTCATCTCCATTAGAGAGTTCATAAAGTGTAAACACTGAGTTGACCATGCCATTTTTGGAAACCTACATGCAACAATGGGAGAAAAAGTCATTGTATTTAAAATAACACCTTGACCTAACTGCTCAGTGCTCACTAGCACTAGCATATTTTCAACGATGATTTTCCATGATATAAATGCATCAGTACAAATTATTTTTTTTTTTTTAAGAAATTAATACTTTTTCAGCAAGGCTGGATTAAATTGATCAAAAGTGACAGTAAAGACAATTATAATGTAATAGATGATTTCTATTTCAAATAAACACTGTTCTTTTGAACTTTCTATTCATCAAAAAAAGTATCACAGTTTTCACAAAAACATGAAGCAGCACAACTGTTTTCATCATTGATTATCATAAGAAATGTTTCTTAAAACTCAAATCAGCATATTAGAATGATTTCTGAAGGATCATGTGACACTGAAGACTGGAGGAATGATGCTGAAAATACAGCTTTGATCACAGGAATAAAGTACATTTTAACATATATTACAATTATTTGAAATGTATTAAATGTAATACGATATTACGGTTTTAACTGTATTTTTCATTAAACATATTTTAAATAAATAAATACATTTATAGGACACAGTATAGTCTCACCCATTGATAAATGAGTTTGCCCCACTCCTCTGGTCTCCTCCACATTATAAGACATCGTGATTTATTTTTATCCAACCATTCCAGGTTTCCTATGCCAAAGCAAAGATCAAAATAATTTTAACATCAATTTTCCGGTCTCTTCTTATCAATGCATTTGGCATCCCACCTTTTTTTCTCAGTTCTTCAAAAACGACTTGTATGGCCTCAACTGAAAGTTTTCCTGAGCGGCAAAAGTTACGGGAAATACATGCAGGGCAAGTAATGACAGAAAAGGAACAGCCTTCAATGTGATTCAACCTCAGTGTATCCTATCAACAAATAAAAACAAGACAAAGACCATGAAAGGATACTCTCAATTTTCTTGTTGTTGAAGACTGGGCTTTCCTGCGCCTCGAGAACGTCCAGAGTGTAGAGTTTCCGGTGACGGCAGAAGGACAGAACCAGCGAACACCACGCCGCCAGCTGCTTCTGTCTCGTGTCAACATTTGGCTGTAATCTGCAAAACAGAATAAAAACATTACATCTCCTCTCAATACCATTTTGGCCCCAATGTGCAAGATTGTCATTTCCACTGATGCAAAGAAATTACAACAAAATCATCTTCTACATAATAATGTAACTATTATATTGTGATAAATTATTAAAGCATATGCATATGTTATAGAGATACTTCAGGGGTTTTCAACAGTGTAAAATTTACAATAAATAATCCATGCCTGGAAATCGCGATTTTCTCAATGTCCTAATATTTCCAGGTTTCCAGTTTTCACTTTAACCTTTAAATACAGTCATTTTTACATAATGACAAATTATTCTTGTTGCAAACCACAGAAGCTTTACTATTCTGCTCGTACTAGCTTCGCTTCACTTGCGTTAGTATTTAAAGTCATACAACATTTAGGCCTGTCACGATAACAACTTTTTGTTGTGCGATATATTGCCCCAGAAATAATTTTTTTTTTTATTTGAACTAGCACCTCATGACTACACCACGTTATGTACGAGAAGCTGCAAAAGACACAGGCGCAAGCGGAATGTACAAAACATGGTGACATTAATTTTTAAGTAAATAAATGGGCGATATATTGCGTCACCAAAAATTATTGAGGTAATGTACATATATTGCGCGATAAGTCGATATATTGATTATTGCGACAGGCCTAACAACATTTAAACACTGTATGACATACTGTAACTGCAAATATTGTAATACTTAATTATATAATTAATTTCATCCTCGCATGACTGAACACTGTGCATGGAGTGTCAAATGTAGTGATTGTATTACTTCCGCAGCGGAAGGCAAACAGTAGCTTTATTCGCGATACAAATGTATATTTAACACTAGACCAAAGTATTATATCGCGGACACGAAACCTCCGTTTTCCATCTGAGGTCCCTGACGTTGATAATAAAATGGATTTACTTACGTAAAAAATGGAGGAAAGTTATACTGCCAGGGCCACTCAAAACTCATCGCAGATTTGTACTCGTTCTGTTGATGTGCGGCTCCGCGGGAATCTACTTCCGCTCTGCTGGAGTTGTTGGAAACACCCGTCAAATTAAAAGTCTCTTGAGAAATCGCGACTCTTTTTTTCAAAGCGACAAATAATATAAGCAGATACAAACAATACAATGTACAAAATGTACAATACAAAATACCACATTTTATTTGAGCACAAGAATAGTCAGTATAGTATTTTTTTTTTTTTTTTTTTACAAATAGCTAAATTAATTACGTTTCATATGCAATTTAAAAAAATATATATAGAAAAAAACTCGTATATTCAGTTAAATCAACAGCATCTTAAAAATTAAATAAAAGAATAAAATAAAATAAAAAGGATCAATCGAATTCACAAATCGCGATTTGTTAACCGGTTCTTTGAGAAAATTCGATTCAAAAGAATGATTCATTAAAAACTCTCCAAAATGAAAATAACATTAAAAAAAATGCACACGACATATGGCTTACTGTAAGTGTCTTATTAAAATTATATTAATAAATAATATTATTTATAATATTATTTATTTAAATAAATTATAATTTATTTCCCTTGACAAAGGCCTATATCAATATTCAATCAAGCATTTAGCCTAATTCACAATCCATTTCTCTACCTGAAGATTTTACCCTCCTTTACCGGTAACTGCTTATAATACACTAGCAACCATCCAGAACAACCTAGCAACCACATAGCAATGCCATAGCAACTACCCCGCCAACAGAAATATGTTCTAGGAATGTTTTGCTAACGTTTCCATGAAAATGTTATCTCTGAATGTTCTCAAAACATCCAGTTTTTTTTAAGTTTAAAAACGTTTTTAGTTAAGTGATGTATGTATGGGAATGTACCTTTTTATTATTTTGTCAATATTATGGGAATGTTACTTTGGAATGCTCTCTAAACCATCTTAGACAAAATATCTAACTAAAATGTTTCGGGAAAACGTTCCATAAATTATGTATAAATAATGGTTTTGAATGAACACTCTATCAACGTCACTGGAATAATGTTGACGGACCGTTCTGAGAACGTTCCATGTTAGGTCAACACCCTAGCAACCACCCTGAACACCATAGCAACTTCTTCCACGCGGGGTTTTATGGCGGTCATTCGAGCGCGTGGGGGCGCTGTGGGCGGATCCTCTCATCCGGGACATCAGGCGAATGACGTCAAGGCGCCGAAATAAACAACAGTGATAACAGACCATAATAACTAATGCAGTATTATTTTCAGAAATAATAGCACATTGATGCGTTTTATTACCCCGCGCAGCTGTTTATAACAGTAGTGGGGAAACCATTGTAAGTGCATCCGCCCCTTCATTTCTGTTCATGATAAAATAATCATATCGAATGTTTCTGAATGATTCTCAGCGAAGGCGCGCGACTAGTCAGGAACTGATATATTGACATAAATATAAGTTCGACTCGATTTTGAATATGAAATCGTTAGTACGCAGCTAAAGCACGTCTGTTTTCCCGCAGGTTTGCAGCGAGATGCAGGCGGCAGAGGACGCGCAGTGCTCACTAGCGGAGCGAGTGGAGTCTATGGGAGTGAGTGAACAGAAGAAAACTGCGGGAAAAGAGGAAGAAAAGGATGAAGAAAAAAGAGAGGAGACGAATACAGCCCCAAAAGATACTATAACAGGGGATGACGCAAGTATGCACACCACATATGTCTTTATACCATGCCTTTTGCATTCTTAATGAACTTGGAATATGATGCTAAATATACCATGGTATCACCACAGTATTTTTTGCAAGGTGTACAAGTTTGTTCTATTACACATTGTTGCATTTTATGCACATTATGATTAAAGTTTTTCATTCACACTCCTATGAAAGATGTAGAAGGACACAAAGGATCCATGGATGTAGAAAAGCAGAAAGAGGGAACAGCCACGGATGGAGAAATGAATGGAGGCGGTGAAGGAAAGCTGCAGCAGACTGAGGAGGACTGGGAGATCCCATACAGTGACGAGGAGATGGAGGACCCTAAGAACTGGATGCCTGCACCCGAGGAGATCAAGCGGCTGTATGAGATTCTGGCTAAAGGAGAAATGCTGGAGCTGAAGTGGGAGCCACTTCCACGCCGACCTCCGACCCCTCCACGCACCCCCTCACCTGAGAGAGATGGAGAGGACTTGCAGGAGGCCAAACAAGAGGAGAACCAGCACAAGTGAGTCAGAAAAAATACACACACACACACACACACATATATATATATACATACACACACACACACACATATATATATATATATACACACACACACACATATACATATATATATATATATATATATATATATACACACATATATATACACAAAAGTTTAGAATAATTAAGATTTTTTTTAAATGTTTTTGAAAGAGGCTGCATTTCATTGATCACAAATACAGTAAAAAAATTACAATTTAAAATAATTGTTTTCTATGTGAATATGTTGTAAAATGTAATTTATTTCTGTGATCAAAGCTGAATTTTCTGCATCATTACTCCAGTCTTCAGTGTCACATGATCTTCAGAAATCATTCTAATATGCTGATTTACTGCTCGAGAAACATTTCTGATTATTATCAATGTTGAAAACCGTTTTTTGGCACTTAAATATTTTGTGGATGCACTACCATTCGAAGGTTTGAGACAAGTATTATTCAGCAAAGACACATTAAATTAATCACAAGTGACAGTAAAAACGTGTATAATGTTACAAAAGAATTCTATTTAAAAAAAAATAAATGCTGTTCTTTTCAACTTTCTGTTCGTCAAAGAATCCTGAAAAAATTAATCACAAAAATATGAACCGTCACAACTGTTTACATACTGATAATAAGAACCATTATTAATCATTGAGGAGCAATAATAACATTATTATAGCAGGCAGATAAAATAATAGAAGCAAATCTGCATCTTAAAATGATTTTTGAAGGATCATGTGACACTGAAGACTGGAGTAATGATGCTGAAAATTCAGCTTTGCATCAAATAATTAAATTACACCTTAAAATATATTACAATAGAAAATAGTTATTTTAAATGGTAATAATATTTCACATTTTTACTGTTTTTACTGTATTTTTGATCAAATAAATGCAGCCTTGATGAGCAGAAGAGACTCAAAATCTCAATTATTCCAAACCTCTGACTGGTATTGCGTACAAATGAGACACCAGTATTTACTCAATGTGTGTGTGTGCAAATATAATATACATTTTTAAAATTTTATACAAAGAATGTAAATATTGATTTATTTATTTATATGTCCTGCAGGGACCTCACGCCAACTGAATTTGATTTCGACGAGGAACAGACTATGGCAACTCCTAAAAACTCTTTTCTCAGTCGCCGCAGAACACCAGGTATGATCAAACATTTGTCCACGTCTATGGATTTGGTAATCTTGGCAGACACACAATATAGATGAATAATGCTGACTTGTGTTCATCCTTTTCTCTCTTTCCCAGGTTCCTCTGCCCGCTCGATGGTCAAGCGCGAGGCCCGGCTGGACAAAGTGCTGTCGGACATGAAGCGTCACAGAAAAATCGAGGAGCAGATTCTAAGGACAGGTCGTGATCTTTTTAAAAGCGATAAAGCGCGGTCGGGGCCTGTTGTGGAAAAGCCCTTGTCGCCCAACAGTCAGCGAGAGCGGGAAAAAGAACGAGAGCGAGACAGCGACCCCAGCACTGTCTTCAGTCCCAGACAGAGGAGATACTGAGGGAAACAACAGACTGCTTGAGTGAAAGCCAGGTTTTTTAGGGTTTATACCCTAAATGGTCATAATTCATCGTTTTGCATTGGACAAATGAGATGCTATTATTTTAACTGATGTTGTCTTTTTTATTCGGATTTTTTTTAATGTGAATAAATAAATGAATGCCTAGCTGCTGGTGTCTTGCTGTTTTTTCTGTTTTTTTTTTTCTTTAAAAATAGTAGAAAATTATTTTCTGTTTGGGCTAAACCTCTGCGAGCTGATTTCTGCCATGGAATAAAAATATGTAAAAAGTAATTGCAACTTTTTACCTCACTATTCTCAGAAAAAAAAGTTTTTTCTCGCAGTTGTGGATTTATATCTCACCATTCTGACTTTTTTCTCATAAAATGCGAGTTTATATCTCGTAATTGTGATTTCTTTTTTTTTTTCTCGGAATCTTCTCAAAACTGCAAGATGTACACTTAGAATTTCAAGAAAAAAAGCCAGAATTCTGAGATGCAAACTAAGAACATACAGAGGGTGGAAAAAACAGAATTGCAAACTGAAAACTGAATTCTGAGGTAAAAAGAATTTTGTCAGAATTCTGAGAAAAATGTAAAAAATTGATGAGATGTAAACTCCAATTTCTGCAATTAAAAAAAGTCAGAATTGCGAGATGTAAATTCTGAGAAAAGAAGAATCTTCTCAGAATTGTGATTTGTAAACTTAGAATTCATAGAGGGGAAAAAGTCAGAATTTCGAGGTGTAAATTCTGAGAAAAGAATTTTCTCAGAATTGTGAGATGTAAACTTAGAATTCATAGAGGGGGAAAAGTCAGAATTTTTCTCGCAGTTGTGAATTTTAAATCTCACGATTCTGATTTTTTTCTCATAAAAGCGTGTTTATATCTCGCAATTGTGATTTTTTTTTTTTTTTTTCGGAATCTTCTCAAAACTGCAAGATGTACACTTAGAATTTCAAGAAAAAAAGCCAGAATTCTGAGATGCAAACTAAGAACATACAGAGGGTGGAAAAAACAGAATTGCAAACTGAAAACTGAATTCTGAGGTAAAAAGAATTTTGTCAGAATTCTGAGAAAAATGTAAAAAATTGATGAGATGTAAACTCCAATTTCTGCAATTAAAAAAAGTCAGAATTGCGAGATGTAAATTCTGAGAAAAGAAGAATCTTCTCAGAATTGTGATTTGTAAACTTAGAATTCATAGAGGGGAAAAAGTCAGAATTTCGAGGTGTAAATTCTGAGAAAAGAATTTTCTCAGAATTGTGAGATGTAAACTTAGAATTCATAGAGGGGGAAAAGTCAGAATTTTTCTCGCAGTTGTGAATTTTAAATC